GCGGCCCCGGGGAAGCCATGGGAAAATCCAAGGAAAGGGCCAGGGGAAGCTTGGGCAAGATCTTCGGTTGGCTGAAATGAACATTGGTGCTATTCTTGTTTAAACTAGTTTGTGTGCTATGTTTTTGTTGGTTTAATGTTGGCTGAAAATGATTATCTTTGTGCCATTCTTGTTTAAACTAGTTTGTGTGCTATGTTTTTTTTGGTTTAATGTTGGCTGAAAATGATTATCTTTGTGCCATTCTTGTTTAAACTAGTTTGTGTGCTATGTTTTTTTTGGTTTAATGTTGGCTGAAAATGATTATCTTTGTGCCATTCTTGTTTAAACTAGTTTGTGTGCTATGTTTTTTTTGGTTTAATGTTGGCTGAAAATGATTGTCTTTGTGCCATTCTTGTTTAAACTAGTTTGTGTGCTATGTTTTTTTGGTTTAATGTTGGCTGAAAATGATTATCTTTGTGCCATTGTTGTTTAAACTAGTTTGTGTGCTAAGTTTTTTTGGTTTAATGTTGGCTGAAAATGATTATCTTTGTGCCATTCTTGTTTAAATGAGTTTGTGTGCTAATTATGTTTTGTTTTTTGTTTAATGTTGGTTTAAAATGCGAATCGATTTCACTGCTGGAAATAGATCTTGTGTTTTTTGTTCTCAGGGGGCTTAAGCAAATGGAAGTCTTAGATTGCCCTTTTCCTACATATGAAGCGTCTTACATCTTACACATTTTTCAACATCGAAAAGCATCAGGCAATCTTCATTCTTAACATTCACTAGAACAGATACGGGTGGCTCGTCCTTTTTTGCGGTGCCCCTTTTTGTGGTTTTGAAAAGGGGGCACCAAAGGGAAGCCGTTGCGTCACTTTGGGGTCCACTCAAAATGCACGAGCCACCCACATGATTCAATCCTTTTTGGGGAACGTTGCCCCTTCCAATCAGGGTCAGCCTGTACTCAAAATACCTGAGCAGAGGCTCTTGTCCTTTCGGGATTGCATCATGGGTTTTTGCGATTTTCTGGATTACCAGCATCTACCAGGGAAATGCAGCTATTCTCCGAAAAGGACGCCTATGTACCTGCAGTCATGGAAACTTGGATTGCACGTTGGCATTCGTTTAAGATGGTTTCCACTTACCCCCAAACCACTGGCCCCAGGGGGTCAATGGAATATACAGCCACTATAGAGCCACAAACAGCGCAGCTTCGGTTTGGTAGTGGAAGCATCTTGGAACTGGCCAGGACCTTCCCATTGCTCTCCTTGTTATGGCTTATTGGAGCTGATGCTCCGCCGCAAATTTACTCCATGGCTGCTCGCAAGACAAGTCATATGCTGCATGTCCTTTCGCAGAATGCAAGCTGGCTTCTGGGGAACTGCTTTGCCATGGGAATCTTGAAAGTTTGTGTGTGGAACGGGTGGAAAACTGTCTTCCTTCGTGGGCCAACCGACTTGCAGAGAAGGATTTCTTTGCAATTTTCTGGATGTCAGTTGCAGAGGCCTTGCGGCATCCATACTTGGCAAGTCAAGTTGAGGACTGCCCATAATGGAGCAACATTCGAGGGGGCGATCGAATTGCTTCAAAAGGAACAAGTTCGAATTCCGAGTTTGAGCGGGGAATCCCCCCCCCCTCCGATGGCATGTCTGGAAATAGAGAAGCCCTGCCGGCCTTTCGATTTGGACTGCTGAAGCGCGTTGGCCACACATGAGCCGGTGCAGTTTTGTTTTTGGCGATCTTATTGTTTGCTCGCATTGCCCTTTGTGTCCTTTCCTGTGTTCTCATATCGCTCCAAAGGTCACCGAAAAGGTCATTGCTTCACTCGGCAACTGATCTGTCTGGCATTTCAAGGCCCCCTTTTGTTTTTGGTGGGGGGCTTGAACCCCCAACTGATAATGATAGCCTAACAAGCGGACCACTGAAAGACCTGGGGTTTGGTTATTCGGCAGCCGCCCGGCCCGCAACGAGGCGATGATAGTGAGCCATTCGCTGAACAAAGTTGGAGCCGCTAGCGGTTAGCGGACTGCCCTAGCTGATCGAGTGATCCTTTTGCACGACAGAAACAGAGCTTGGTCTGCATTTTTCAGGTCTTAGGGTACACAAAATATGTAGCCGAATCTGGAAGGATGTTCATGGTGTACCCCCAAAGTTTGGCGTCCTTGGTCACTCTTTCAGGAACTGCCTGCTTGCGGCAGGCAATCCTCAGTGTTCTGGCTGGGGACGCCTGCGGGCTGGCTAAGGCTCCATGCGGTGTAAATGGTCAATACATTCGAAGGGGTACCTTCCCCATTCTTTTCAGGGATGCTTCTTTTGAGGAAGCCATCAAAAACCCAGGGGAACAGAAAAGGAATCAACCCCTAGATACATGTTTTGTTGCCAAACCGTTCTGCAAACCAGGCCACTGCAAATCTGTTGGTTGATTTTATTTGTGGCGATTTCTACAAAGCAGTCCATTGCAAACCTGTTGGTTGATTTTATGTGTGGCGATGTTGTGTTTCGGCCAACCACCTGTCGGAAACATCCTAGCGCAAAGGCGAATAGACGAAACGACAGCTCGAGCTGAAGCGGGCAGCCAGCCTTCATCTCACCCCTTTCCGCCCAGCGAAGCTGTGGCGGCGAGTCACCTGAGACAGTTGTCGGACTTGTCAAACTTTGATCCAGCGCAATCTTGAGGGCTCCAAGACTTGTTGAAATTCCACCATTCCTCCCACCAGACTGTGGATGGACGAAATCCGTTCGCACCACTTTGAAACCATGGTATATTGTTTTGTTCGTATTTACAGGGAATCAACACATTCCAGGTTTCCGAGGTGGTGCAGGATTTCGTCCATCCACAGCACCCGTTGCAGGGTACCAAGTGCTCCGTGGTCATTTGGGGTGAGCTGCTGTTTCAAAACTAGATTTTCTTTTCTGGGGCACGTGTAATGATGCGAAGTCTCTGATGTCGGGCTGTTAAGTGCAGTGCCGCGCAAGTGGCTTGCAATGAGAAAAGAGGCGTTGCGCAACCCTGGGAGGAATGTGAGATCTGAACCGCATGGGTCATCATTTAACCGTTACACATCGTGTACTTTAAAGCTCCAATTTTCAGTCTGGGCACTTTTCCCGCCAACCCTGTAGTTTTGCCCGGGCCGAACCACATGGCCGTTTGTCAAAACCAATGGGATCCCATTTTGGGGTAGGTGCACCACCCATTTTAGCCTATTTTAGTTGGGATTGGGATGTTCACTGGGGGTACGATTTGGGTTTTGACCCAGAGCCACATGAGCTGGTATGTTGCATGGAATGCTTGCCTCTGCAGCTACAACTTCGTGTCAGGGTGCCTAGGGACACCGATTTTCCTTGTCGACTTGTCGGGGTACAGAACCGGGTCCCGTTTTTTTTCTCTGGGTTTCCCCCCGAGTCCGAAGAGCCCAAAAACGAGAATTGCTGAAATGCACTCACAATGCTTTCGCTGCCTTTCGGACAGTCAAACTTGGCTTTGGCCATCCAAAAGGTGTATCTTGTCTCCCCGCGGTGGAAATCCTGCTTGAGTTGAGTGGTTTGTCCCACTGGATTTCACTGATCCCAACTGGTGCGAAATGGATTTCGTCCACATCACTGGGGTAAGGCCTCTTCGAAATATTTGGTTGGATCCTTCCCCTTTAAACTAGAGTTGTCTGTGCTTCCCCAGCAAACAGTTAGACTTTGTGGTTATCATAACGTCCATTGTTTGCCGTTCAGGATTGTCATCATCTAAACAGGGCCAAAAGCATTCTTTTAATGGGGTTTGGAGGCACACAAAAACGGCCTCATTGGCCCGTCGAAGGACGGAAAGAGCCGAGGCGAGCCAAGCTGGAACCCTTCGGCTATGAATTTGAAAGCTGGAAGGACCTCCTCAAAAGTGGTTGGACATGAATCCACACCTACATGAACCCTCACTGAATTTGGCAGGGTCCATGGGTAAAAGGGAGAGAGAGAGAGAGAGAGAGAGACGGGGGGATTCGTTACACTGAATTTGGATGTCCATTCACAGGGTCCTTGAGTAAAAGCGGGGGAGAGAGAGAGAGGGGATTTCTTTGGGGGTTCATGCTTGGCTTACCTGTTGCATGGAAGCCGCTTTGAACCCCGCTAATTGGTGAGATACGGGAACTCATGTTGAGCAGTGAGTCAGGTATCACCTATTTGGTTTGGATTGGTGGTTTGGAGGTTTGAACCGTTGCTGTTGAAGCCAAATTGAGCCACAATCAAAACCTGGGTAGATGAAGGTTAGTAAGGGAAAGACCCAGCCGGAAATAGTTGCAGCCGCCTTTCTAATTGTTTACATGGTTCTGGGTTCACCATTTTTGTACCAGGTTTTGATTGCGACTCAATTGGGGTTTGTTACCTCACTTCCAAACCACCCGGTCACCGCACCACCAAAGGGCATGACTTGAGGGACCTGCTTTCAGCCCGAGCTGCCAACTGCCGACTGCCGCCTCGCAGCATCGGCGCGAGCGAGCAGCTCGCTCCTCACGCACTTGTGCGCATGAACAGCTCGCTGCAGTATCACAGGAGCTTCAGAACGTTCGGGAGGCATACGTGGCTGTGGCTCAAAAAGCCCGTACCAAAATGGAACTCTGGTAAGCGGAAACTTGGACCAAAACCTGCGTAACCCCTCCTGTTTAATTTTGAGCCACACCCAGGTGTTTTCAGCTTGTGTTTTGTTCCTCCTTTCAGTCTGCATTTTTTAATGGGCTGCAAAACACTTCCACGTCGCTTTTGTTGCCAAGCCACGCGGTTTCGGTTTCGGTTTTGGAGTCCTTTGGAAGCACCCCACGGGTGGCTTTCTTCGATTCGGTGAATGAAGGCACGTCCGACCAAGCGAGCCACCGAGCCACCTTTGGTCACCACTTTGATCTGACGAACTTGCCAAGTCCTTTTGGTTGTCCTTCAAACACCAACCAAAGTTTCACGTTGGAAAATCCGTTCACCTATTTGGAGAACACTCATCCGCTGACTCTGCGCGTTACCCCGGCCTACGCTTGGATCAGTCCGATGCTTGATGCCTGCGGTCTTGGCTGGGGCCCAAGTCGCCGGGGCAACAACTGGGCGTCCACTTTTAAACGGAGCCGAAAAGGGTGCCCCCCGTAGACCCCTTGGTAGACATTGCAAGTACGGTCCATGATATTGGGGTTGGGCGTGGTTGGTTTGCTGGCCATATTTAGGGCACCCAAATCCCTAGCTGCGAAAGGGGGAAGCTTCACAGCATCTCGGTTGGTTTATATGTTTGTCAGCGGTTGTCTACGAGCTGAGGGGAATAATTGAACAAAAAGAACAAGATTTGAGTTATGGTCCGTTCACCTGCACGCTTGTGTTCGCTGAACATGGCTGCGAATGGGCCTTCCATGGCTGGTTCCTTTTCGCTTTCTGCAGACTTAAGTAGACCTCCTGGTGGCAGGATCTCAGGTTCCTGAACGGGCCGAATGGTTAAACCACAAAAGCAGGATAGACTTGCTCCCGCTCGTACTTGCCATTATATTTTCTTCTTTTATTTAACGACCGAGCCATTGACATTCTGTCGAGCCACGCCCAAGGGTGGATCAAACCAGGGTTTGGTGTTTCGGTATTCCAAGTTGGCCATTTTTCTCAATGTGCAGAACAGACATGCTTCGTATTTCTGAGGCAAGGGCAAGCAATGGCAAGAGGAAGTTTGCCGACCATGTTGAGACCTTTTTGTGCATTTTCCATTTCAAGGTTCGTCTCATTTATGTGAATCGAAATCTAAACATGCAATTTTTAGTGCCATCCTGGTCATGGTTGTTGAAAACTGGAAATCAGGACTGATACCAAGGATGCCCCTAAGTGAACAAGTAGTCGTGGGGATGGGAATTCCAGTCTGGTATCACAGACATGCATGTTTATCTCCCGCAGCCTCGATCTTGGTTGGAAGTCATGTTTTTTGTTGTGTTGCAAACCTGTGGTCAGACGGAAGCACAAGAGAAAACTTGATTGGGGACTGTAAGTCAACGACTTTCCAAGTACATCAAGCAGTCTTGGTGGCTGTTGATACGGTGGATGCCAACTGAATATTGCAAGGAAACCAACCACAAGCCACGGTGGAATTTACAATTTACGTTGGGTTTCCTTTGTTCCCCACTTGCAATACTGTGGATGGACAAAATCCTGCACCAGTCGGGATTTAGGATTTCGTCCATCCACAGTATTTTGGGCATCTGCCGTACACCGGAACGACGTCTCTCTGAACTGCAAACTGTGTGGTGCTCAGGTCGAACGCGGGAAATCGTCGGCGGAGTCCTGGAAGGTGCCGAAAGAGAAAACGACTCCGTTGGTTTTGCCGGAATTTGGAGTTTGAAGTGAAATCCAAAGGGGTGTGTTTTAGGGGACCCTTTTTGGTTGGTTTAGAGGCAAACTACTAGGAAGCCACTGATTTTTGCGGGAGTCCACCTTTTGAGACATATCCAAATCAAAGCGTGTTTGTGTTACTTGTTTCACTTTGAACCTTGGTTGGAAGGGAAACCGAAAAACAAAATCCATTTGGAGTCTGTTTTTGACACGTACCCAAATGCTTGTGTCTTTTTGGGAGGGTACTGTTTTTGGGTCGGTTTAGAGGGAACCGAAAGGCAAGCCATCACTTGGTCCCCCTATTTTGAGACAATCCTATTTGTGTAAATCCGCGTGTGGGTGCAGAACGTGTTTTCATGGGGTTACCCAGGCCTATTAAAACGCGTTCCAACAATCCCCACCCCTATCCCCGAAAACAGACACACGCACACACAGACTTAGCTTTCCTTTTTATTTTTTGCCCTTTTGGGCATCTTCCTTTTTCAATCAGCCAGCCAAAAGTTGTGTCTTGGGTCGGATCCGTCAAGACATGAAGGGCCAATCAACAAATCCACCTTCTACCTGTTAGAGGATTGCATCACACTCCGCAGGAGTTTTATTGTTGTTTTGCATTTTCTGCCACCCCAGAAAAAGACACACACACACACACACACCGATTCTTTTTTTCCCATGGGCATCCTCGGTCTCAGGTCCCGAGATGTTTTGATATGGCTCATCTTTTCGGAGTCGGACAATAAACAGCAAATTGAACTTTGGTGTTCCTCTTGGTCCTTTGAAAGCCACCAATCAACGAATCAGGGCGTGCCAACTCCTAAAAACGACGAGCCACCCATCTCCCAGAAACACCCAACTCAGAATGAGACCCGAGACCCGACACCATTCGGATCTGGCCATTCAGCGCGCATTCGGTGCACCATAGACGTCCCCGACCGACTGCCGAAAGATAGGCTCTGGATGGGGCAGCTTTCAGGGAGGGTTCCGAAAAGGTTCCAGGGGTTTCCGGGGCTGTTGGGTCCCGATGCCACCTGACCGCTTTTTTTAGTGCTGAGGCCCGAAACTACGGCTGTTTTCTCCCGAGTTGGGCCAGAAGTCGATTGAGGTGCCGTCAACAGACCGGTTCCTGGACTTGGGGTTACGACTGTGGATGGGTGCGAAATCCATGCAACGCACCACCGAAATGAAACCCAACGGAATGTTTTGATTCCCCTGTATATACCAACAAGCATTGCTTTCTCAAGGTTTCAAGGTGGTGCAGCATTTTGTCCAACAGTAGGGATGCTCATGCACCTGGTAAAGATCCTTAACCGTTGTCATGTTGTCATGGTTTCTATTAAGGCAACCATCACCATGAACCATACACAGAGTTTTAGCCATGACTCATATATTTTGGAGATTTCTACAGGTGTCGCGTTTTGTCCTCGCTCACTACTTTGCCACCTTGTTTTGGACCACCAGGAGAAGCGCCGTTCTGGTCTGCCCTTTCTCCTTGTCAGTTTTGAGCAGCTGTTCTCCAACATGAATCGAGGGCTGAAAGTTCAACTCTTAGCCACGTCTCAGCGTGAAAAACGAAGCGAAGTGCAGCAGGTTTGCAGTCAGCCGGGTCGGAGCTCAGTCTTTTGGGTTATTGAGACCGTGTTTCTACATACCTGCCTCTGGGTTTTCGTTTCGGTGCAAGGGTGGCATATTCCCTCTGAGAGGGAGGCAATACCTTGGTTTCGCCCTGGACACGCCGTGCATGAGCAAGCAGGACAGGGCAGGACCAGTTTGTTCAACATCATTTCTCTCGCAGCAGACGGCAATAGGCAATAGCCCCTTTATAAAGGTAGAGGACATGGTCATCAATTCCAAAACCGTCTATTTAAAGGCCTAGCCCACTCTTCGTGCAATCATAGAATCATGGAAGACACGATGATTTTGGAAGACCAGGGTTTCCTCTATGTGGCTTTTGGAACCTCCAAAAATCGCTGTTTTAGTGGACACCACCAGACAATTGCAACTTTTGAAGGCGACAATCAGCAACCCCTGTGTTGTGGTGAGACACCTTGGTTGGACAAGGAGTACCTAGAGTCTCCATGACCCTTTAAACATGGCAGTCATTCCCTAAATAATGGGGTCATGGACCTATCTTTAAAGGGTCATGGAGACTCCAGGTATCCGCCTCACCCCTCGCCGACACTTCACGCGGCTCGTCTCTTCCCAGACCTTCACGCCGCCGGTGGACCCTTCCCGGTGTCAGGCGCGAGGGGCCAATGCATCGGTCCCACTCGCCGGTGCAAGTCCCCGTGCTCCAAGCACACCCCCTCCCTCTGTAAGCTGTTTTTTGTCTAAAGAAAGTAATTTGTGTAGTATAAACGTATTTTGCATCGCTTTATATTGAGGGCAACTTGAATTGAGCTTCCTGGGGCGATGTGTTTTTGAAGCCGACCAAATCCAAACCCCAAGCCCCATGGTTGCCTATCACCCATCGAATCGAGAAGCTTCGAGAACCTTTCCAAGTTTGGGGCCTTTGGTTTCCGAGTTCAGATGTGGGCCTGTCTTGTTTTGGGGTTCCCCAAAAAATGTGATGTTCCTTTTGCTGTCCCATTGAAGCAATCCCAAAAAGGGTAGCCTGAAAAAGGACACAACATGTTAGCACTTTGAGAAGCCATGACATGGCGACGGATGGCACATGGTTGCATTTTTTTACTGGTCGCGAAAAGCATCACACCTTTCAACGGAGTCCTGGCGGCTTGGCGTTTTTGCCTTCGTGAGGGGTTTGCCTCACAAACCGCACAGAGCATTGAATGCTTGGTGGAGGGGGGAGTCAGCGAGAGAAAGAGGAAGAGAAAGACTGATAGAGGGCGTTTGAGGTTTCCAGGGTCGAAGGAGCTTCTGTTGCCGCGCAGAGGGTTCAACGGGCTTCATGGCACCACCAATGGGCCCACATAGGATGCAAGATAGGTTGAAGCCTCACATATGAAGTTATACTCTAGACACCGGTTTGGATGCGCTTTTTGGTGGATTTCGCCTGTCCTTCCCCTTCCTGGTGCTTTGTTAGTCAATGTTTAGTACTCTTTTAGTATTCTACAGGGGTGGATCCACAAAAGCCGCACCCAAACTGTATTCTAGATATACAAATTGCTTTTCATTTAACATTGACGTTGCCATGCTTCCATTTGCTTAAGAATATGTTCTCCTTGTTGGTTTTAACAGGAATTTGTTACTACTGGATTTTTTTTATTTTTTTTTATAATCCGGGGGTCTTAACCAAATGGAAGCATGCTTACCTACATGTTCCTGTGGTTTGCAGCTGTTGCTTGCGAGATGTGTGGGGACTCCACTGAACAGCACCAGCTTGGCGAGGCTATGAGCGCTTGTTTCTGGATAGAGGTAAACCTTTGGTTGGTCCGAACCCTGCACACGGGTTACCTTAAATTACGCAAACAAAGATACATATATATATATATAGATACACGCACCTTAGATATGTATATATACATATACACATGTACACAGACACAGACACACAGACACACAGACACACAGACACACAGACACACAGACACACACAGACACACAGACACACAGACACACAGACACACAGACACACAGACACACAGACACACAGACACACAGACACACAGACACACAGACACACAGACACACAGACACACAGACACACAGACACACAGACACACAGACACACACACACAGACACACACACACAGACACACACAGACACACACAGACACACACAGACACACAGACACACACAGACACACAGACACACAGACACACAGACACACAGACACACAGACACACAGACACACAGACACACAGGACACACGGACACACGGACACACGGACACACGCAGACACACGGACACACGCAGACACACGGACACACGCAGACACACGGACACACGGACACACGGACACACGGACACACGGACACACGGACACACGGACACACGGACACACGGGCACACGGGCACACGAACACACGGGCACACGGACACACGGACACACGGACACACGGACACACGGACACACGGACACACGGACACACGAACACACGGACACACGGACACACAGACACACACACAGGCACACAGGCACGCACAGGCACGCACAGACACACACACAGACACACACAGACACACACAGAGACACACAGAGACACACAGAGACACACAGAGACACACAGAGACACACAGAGACACACAGAGACACACAGAGACACACAGAGACACACAGAGACACACAGAGACACACAGACACACACAGACACACACAGACACACACAGACACACACAGACACACACAGACATACACAAACACACACAAACACACACAGACACACACAGACACACACACAGACACACACAGACACACACAGACACAGACAGACACACACAGACACAGACAGACACACACACACACACACACACACACACACACACGCTACACCCTTTGGTCCAAGGTGATGTCCATTTCTGTTTGGCAGCGCCCGTCACGCGGGCAAACTGCAAACTGTGAGCAAATCATACCCCATACCTTCTGCGCAAAAATCATGATTTTGAATAGTGCATTCATAATTCGGTACTAGAGGACTACTAGCTTGTCAACGCTGACACAAACATGAACACAAAAAACATGTGCTTCAGTCAATACACATATTGGTCACACTCCCAACAACTCCACTACTTGCGTTCCTTTAATCGCCTTAGCCTTCCACTTCCAAGGGGCATTTGCGGCGGCTGGGAATTTGCCGCTGCTTTGACAAAAAGCACCTGGAAATGTTTGCTTCAACCTGAAGTGACTAGGAAGTGAAGTAACTAGGCAGTGAGGGCAGTGAAATAGACAAGACAGAAATACTAGGAAGGAGCGTGGGGCATATTTGCTTTACATTGTTACATGTATGCACGCGAAGCGCCCCCGCCCGTGATCTACTTTTTGCCTTTTGAAGCCCATTTCAAAAGTGCTTGTGTACTGACAGTACACTGTTTAATGCCAGAGTCCGTGGCATCGTGGCGTTTCTGAGTTGTAGACTGACGTTTAACATGCAGAATCAGTGTATGTGCAAATCCCCTGACACGATTCTGGTTTCTGGGGCATTCTACGTTGAGTCGGGCATGCCAAAAAACATTCATGATTACAGTGTCCTACGTTACATATATAAAACACCGTGCTTCCCATATTGACATGCGCAATAATTAAGCCACGGCTAAGCTTGGCTTGACTTTTCCTAATGGACGCAAGTGCCTTTAATTAAGAAAGTACTCACTTCAAAGGAAGCCAGAAACAACGCAAACAATCCCAAAAACCGTGAGAACACACACAAACGGTTTCAGCTCAAACTTTGTGTTTTTGTTGCGTGTCCCGTGTTTGCTGTAGATTCCCTCAGTTCTTTGCTTTGTTGCGTTTATCCCTCTCAAAAAGCCAACAAAGACTTACTTTTTTTTGCCCTGTAGAAGACCAGATGTCCACAAACCAAACATACCTCGAGGTTTTTGCTTCATGAATGCTAACAACCCAAAACTGGGGGAGCACAAAAAAAGGCAGAACATTTCAAACAAACAAACAAAGCCAAGGATTCTCCCTCAGATATTGTTGTCATTGATGTTTTGTTGTTTTTCTCGATTCTGTTTTGTTTTTGGTGTTCCGTGTGTTTTTCCTTTTTGCATCACTCCTCCCAACAGCAAACAAAGTCACGTCTTCTTTGCTTTTCCCTTTGACACACACACAAAACCAACAAACCACATCGGTTTTTTGTTTGTGGTCATTGTCCGTCAAGTTTTGTTTTTGTTGAGATGTGCTCACTTATGTTCATGATTGCGTGACCATATATGCACACGCCTCGCTTCGATATGCATGGACATCTTTTGCTCAACACGTTTACCAGTGTAGTCAGCGACCCCAGTCTAGACTAGACTGAAAAGAGGAATCTGACACAAAACAGGACTTAAATTGAACTGCTAGACTCTAAAGAGAATTCAAGACGGACAGAGTTGAAGTATAATTTCTTATCAGGCTCCATATAAAACTCCTGACAAGGCTCCTTATAAGGCTCCTCATGAATGCTTCCTTCGCGTTTAACGTTTAGAAAGGCAAGCGGGCGGCACCCACGCGGCAGCTTCCAAGTCACTTGCTACCAGCGCGGACCAGATGAGCAACTGAACAAGAGCGGCCGGAAGTTACCGGCTGCGCTGTTGCAAGGAGTCGGCCGTTGAACCGCAGGACAGCGCTGAGACGGAGCTGTCTTGGTTGTGCGAGAGAGTATGTAAGGAATGCCTGTGACCACCTAAACTTCACAATGCTTGGCCAGTTAAGTGTTGCCTCAGCGACCTGGCTTCCGTGCGAACGCTTGGATCATCACATTGAGCCTGACACCTGCTGCTTATGTTTATATAGTGTTTGTAAAGCCAGCTTATGCACCAATGTCGGTGTGGAATTGTTCCGGCAGGAGCAAAGTCCTGCTTTGTGGTGGTACGATGAGGGCACCGGCGCATTGCTGTTGTGCGAGCGAAGCATCCTTGAGAAATTCATCCCTGTGCTTGTTTCACAGACACAACGTGCGATTGCTTGAGCTGTCTCCGCACGCAAGTGTTGCAATCTCTTGTTGGCGTGCATTGAAATTTAGTGCCTCCAATGATTGCTCCATTCTATAGGCCCTATTGGTATTGCAAACCTTCCAACGCACAAAATGCAACTCACTGTCATCTGTTTGCATTGAGGTCTGGTCTGGAGGTCTGTGGGGAAAAGCTTTGGTTGTGGCAAGCTGGAGTCAGTCTACATGATTCCTGATGTCCTGCAGTTGACCGTGACGACACCCTTGTCGGTATTTCTTTGTTTCTCAAATCTAGCAAAGCAAGCGATTTGTTGGTTACTTTGACCTGCCAAGGGCACTAGGAAGCAGGGAGCAGGATTTGGTGGCATGTCTATTTGCCCAAGCAGGCTTGAAGCAAACCCCCTGCGGCGTGATCTCTCATGGCACGGTTTGCTGATTCATCGATCGTTCCGGTCATCATGCTCCTCGTTGTGATTCCGAGCTGTGTCCACTGTTAGTCCGAAGACTGCCTGAACACACTCCAAATTTGGGACAGCCTCGGCCCGCTCTTAACAACAATTGCTTGGTTTCAGGAATGGTCTGGTCGCAAGCCTTGCCCCCCAGAACCATTGTTTGTTTCAGACCTGATAGCAAGCCCCGCGCCCTAAAACAGTTGCTCGCAAGCCCCGCTCCCTAGAACAGTTGGGTTTCAGGCATCATGTGGTTGCAAGCCACGCTCCCTAAAACAAAGCGTGATCTCATAAACACGGTTGGTTTCATGCCGGGTTCCCAAGTGGTAGCTTCTCATTCAGGGTTGCGCCGAGCCTAAATGATGACCACCCAAGGGTGGAAAGTTGGATTAGCTCCCTTTGATTCCCTTTGACCTCGCGTCGCGAACTTTCCACCGTCCCAACAAAGCGAACCCCGCAGAGGTTTTCGCTTCTTGGACATTTCTGTTCCCTCACCCAACGCACATGAAAATAGTCAGCAGGCGTTGGGTGGGCAACAAGGTGTTGTAGTTTTAGCTGTTTAATTTTCAGGAAGCTTTCTTGAGAAAGTGCCAGAAACTGAGGAAGTGCTTGTGGTTTCTCGGAAGACTGAGGGGTGAAAACCATGGCGAATCAAGCTGAATTCCTATCTTAAGCCAAAAAATATGCGGTTGTAAATTCGGTGTACACGGGTTGTACACAGGGCTATCTAGGGAAACTATCACACAGCGTAAATATTGCTTGTAGGGTGTTCATTGGGACATTGACATGTAGGACCTGATGAAGCAGAGCAGGGAGCCTGGGTGCAGCACGAGAACCCAAACCCAATGCGGTCAAACTATTCAGAGTCGAGAGGCTCCAGTTTCCGCACTCCTCCAGCTCTGAGCCTGGGTGCTCTTGATCTGCGCAGATTGGGCAAGCCCCGTTTTCAATTCTGCACTGGCTCAAGTGGGATCAGGTAGTCACATGTTGCGAGCATCTGCACGCACCTGCACTTGCCAGCGCCAAGCTCCCAGCACTGTGTGGCTCTGAGCCATGGCGCCGAAGAAATCACAGCGGAAGCGAGCGTTCATACAGTGGCAACCTTCGACAATTCTGCAGCCAGATGTTCTTGAGCAATGTTCAGGGACACCCCCTCTTCCCTTTTTGCTTCACTCACTCACTCACTCACACTCACTTCCTCCCTCCCTCACTCACTCACTCACGCACACTCACTCCCTCCCTCCCTCCCTCCCTCCCTCACTCACTCACTCACTCACTCACTCACTCACTCACTCACTCACTCACTCACTCACTCACTCTCACTCACTGCTCAGTCACCCACTCACTCCCTCCCTCCCCTCCCTCCCTCCCTCCCTTCCTCTAACTGTCTCTCTCACTCAATCACTCACTCACTCACTCACTCACTCACTCACTCACTCACTCACTCACTCACTCACTCACTCACTCACTCTCTCTCTCTCTCTCTCTCTCTCTCTCTCTGACCCACCCGCTCGCTCGCTCGCTCGCTCGCTCGCTCGCTGCAAGCCTGTTCGCGTGAAATGTGTGTGCATCAAGGCAGCGCAGAGAAGCGCAGGCAGCTCGCCGCGTGCAGGCGTGGTGGAGACTTTTGCAGGAGCCGCGCTTCAGCTCGCAAGCGCACGCTGGGCACAAGAAGAAAGTGTCCTTGAAACATTACCAGACCAAAGGTCGAGAATTATTGGACGCCTGCTTCAAAGACATGTTTCTTTTCAAAAAGGCCAACAGGTCAGGTTCGCGTGGCTGGTTGGCAGCCCTGGTGGAGTGGGGCGCGTCGCCTGAGAACCGCGCAGTTTTCCCTTCCGCAGGTGCTCGCCTTGTCGTGGCGGAAGGGCTCAGTAATCACTAAAAAAGCTAAGAAGCGCTGCTATTCCTGTTTTGCCTCCTTTTGTTTCCCTTTTGCACGCATGTGGCTTGGAAAGTGAAAGAACCACAGCCCACTCGCTTCCTTTTTTTCCTGGTTCTAGAAGCGCGCCAGAAGAAGATGGGAATGGTAATTATTATTTGTATTTATATTGATTATCCATCTGGGGCCCCCGCTTGCAGTTCTCACCTTCTCCCCTTTGGGGGGAGGTTGAATTCACTCTGAGATCTAAACAAATCATAACTATACATATAGTTACATATGTGTAAATACATTGTCAAAAAGGCATCCTTCCCAATTGAAGAATATTGTAGGCAGAGTGTAGCGGCGGCATTTAATTTCAGTTGCCATTCGCAATTTGAGTTTGGGTATGAATTCCTTTCCAAATTTGCTTCCAAATCAACTGAGTAAAAATTCCACAGCTGAAGGCATTGTTTTCGGACTTGTGCATGGGACATAACACGGGACAGAGATGCCGCTGACTTGTGTGACCTGCAGCCTGCAGAAGGCTGCGCCCGCAGATGGTATAGATGCCGCAGGATCTTGTCAGATCATTGGGGGGAGGGGTCAGCACATATATGTATAAGTATATACATATATCATATATATATATATGTAAAAGTACATACACACCTTAAACAGAGCCTGTGTGGTTGAAATGCATTGGGTTTTGTTTGCCAGTTTAGTTCAAGTGTGGAGATGTTTCAAGAGCAAAATCAGGGAGCCTTGTTCTGAGGAACTGTTGCGCGCGAGTGAGACTGCAGGTCTACTGGTAACGCTTTCTCTTGGAGCGTGCTTGTCCGTGGTGAATATGAGACTACAAGATTCTCGCAAGGCGCCGTTCTCACAAATCCGGCGCCATATCCTAGACAAGAAAGGCCAAACAGAATGCAGCATGGCAACAAAAAACGGTACGGAAAACAACAACTCATGACAGAAAGAGTGAAAAGGGCCAACAACAGAGCACATAATTACAATGCTCGGCGTGTTTGTTGGTTTGTTGGCTTGTTTTTCTAGTACCTGTCTTTGGGCCTTGCCAGGCGAGGACTTGGAATGCCGGCCGGGGGGGCCAATGCTCTCTCAGGCCGATGGTGAGCCCAACACACTGCCGACCCCTTAGGTTTCTGCAAGAAAACTATTTGACTCACTTCCTGAGTTCATGAACTTTAAACTTTTTGGGAGGACCACTTTAGTGGTACCGAAAAAGTTTTGATTTTTTTTGGGCCATCCACTCAGCCGGTGAGTTGAACTCCACCCCGAAACCATAGCAAGTCGCAGTACATTCGGGGGGTTCCTTGGTTGCTTGTTTGGTCGCTTGGTTGGTTCCTTTGTTCCCGTACTTTAGGCCATTATGTGTCTTCTATGATGAGCTGACCTTTGAGTTGGAAGGCGGGTTGGAAAACAAAAAGGGCACATCTTTGGGGTCAACTGCAGCCATACTGAAAATCTGCACCACTTCGAAACCATGGTTACAGCTCTAATTGGTTGCCAGTGCCATCTTTTCTTCCACAGGGACGCCCAGGGCAAATGCCGTTGAAGTTGGCCCTTTTAATAGCAGTCGGCCGATTTCTATCGGTGCAACCCGCTTTAGAAATGGGTAAAAGTTAGAACCGGCCCCCCAAAATGGTGGTTTCCTTTTGGTTTCTCTTTTAAGCCAAGATAAACAGGCTACCCTTAAACATCACAGACACACACACCCACACAGAATCGCACACGCACACAAAAGCACACACGCACACACCCAAAAGGGATGTCCATTGGCAGTTTCGGCATGTTCCAGAACATGGCAACGGTTCCAGTTTCTTCAAATCAGACGCTTTGTGAAAACCCAAGTAAGGGGAACCACAGGGAGGGTCTGGGGACATATTTCTCAGATCCACCCAGACAACACCCGAGATTGAATATTGCAAGTCGACCAATCACAGCCAAAGACAAAACTCTTGCAAATTCCTTGTTTTGCATGGTTCCCCAGGTTCCCATACTTGCAATATTTAGGGGCATCAGTTATAAGGGAACAAGTTGGACCCCCCCCCCCCCCCGAATTTCCTGTGTTTTACTTGTACCATGGTTTTGTGGTTGAATGTGGTTGGTCTATGGGCAAAATCCTGCACCACTTTGCAACCATGGTTGACACCATAGTTTGTTGGTATTTCCAGGGGAGTCTTCAAAAACCAGGGGGTCTGAACGGTGGTGCATTGGATGGATTTCGCAACCATCCACAATATTCATCAACATCCATCGTCTGTCGACTTTGGTTTCCGGGTCTCGGAGTTTCGGCAGGCCCTGCTCCGAGCATCGGCTCTGCCAGACCCATGAGCGTCAGCTCTGCTCTGCCAGGCTTGGGAAATGTCAGGTTCAACCGAGAAGATGGACACCAAATGGAAGCCAAGCAAGCGCCCTGAGTTGAAACATATGTTCAACCAAACAACCCGAGGCTAACAAACCACAACCAAGAAAGCGGTTTGTTTAGTTGGAAATCACGGCATGTTCCAAGTTACAGGCCGAAGATCCAACCAAACCGCCGAAGCCTTCAATCTGGCAGGCCGAAGCAGAGGGAGGGTAGAGGCCTCAGTTCCATGGGGTTTCCATCCCCAAGAAATCAGTCAGACTCTAAATTGAAGGAATGGTTTAAAGAGAAAAGAAAGCCGCAGACCTTGTGAAGGCTTCTGGGAAAGTGCGCTGTTTGAAGCACCACATGTTTGTTCGTTGTGTTCATGAATACGTGCAAACCCAAACTTGCAACATGGGTGTCTTCTTGGTTGGGGACCCCAGGGGGCCCACCCTGGGGCCCACCCACAAAAGGCAACATGGTCAACCACGCATAGGTACCTGAAAAAAAAGGACGCGCCCACGTGTCTCCCATGTCTTGCCAGTGTGTGCGTGTGCTTGCCTGTCTTTTGGTACCCGCAACTTCTTGGAACATGTCGTATTTTCCCAGCAACTGAGCAAATATGTTGTTGCACTTTGGACAATAGCCACTGAAATTTAAGAAAACACTTCTCTACTCAAAGTCCCGCAGTGGGATGTTATCCCATGTTGCCACTTGGTTTTGCTCTGCCGAGGAACAAGCACGTAACCGAAACGCAAAGACGCGCTCTCAAAGCACAAGGTCGGTGTTTGCACCGCTGCGGTTGTAGTGAAGACTTCGACCAATTCTCATGAATTGCCAGGAAGCTCAAGACCTGTTTTTTCCACATTCATTCCCTATTTGGTTTCAGAAGGAGAAAGAAGAAGCGCGAGAGAGAGGGAGAGATGGACATAATACATATAGAGAGAGAGGAGAGAGAGAAAAAAAAAAGAAGAGAGAGAGAGCGAGAGGGAGAGAGGGAGAGAGGGAGAGACAGAGGGAGAGAGAGAGGGAGAGAGAGAGAGAGAGAGAGATGGAGATGGAGATGGAGATGGATGGTACCCTCTCAACAGCTCTAAAGACTCACAAGCTGGTACATGATTTTGTCTCTTTGTGTTTTTGTGAGGGGGCCGGAGGGGGGGGGGGGGTAAGACACCAACAGTGTTCACCAGGTCTACAAGATGGTTTGGGTCGCGCCAGCGCGCGCGCGTGCAGGGGCCTCACGCACGGCTTCGTGACGGGGCCGATCCCTGCGGAGAAGCTCTCAGAGCCCGGGGCCGAGATCGGCGGTCGTTTTAAAGGGGATCATGGCTGTACCCAAGGGGATTCCACACTCCGAATGGGGAGATACCCTAAGGTCCAAGCCACCAAACCAAGCCACCAAATAGAAGGAAGCTGATATGGCCGTGGTTGTCAAAACCAATGGGATCCCATTTTGGTTGGTAGGTGAATTCACCACCCATTTTAGAACCTATTTTAGTGGGGGATTGGGATGTTCACTGGGGGCTAACCGGGATTTTGACCCATGGCCACATTCCCTGGGGGGGGGGGGGGGTCCACCTGTGGGTGAAGAAAAACATACTATCATACGGGGGCAAGAAAGGGGGGGGGGGTCATTTTTTTTGGCGGGGAGGATGCTCCTTTTCGACCAGCCAAGGGGTTCCACTATGGTCAAAGAAGAACGCGGCCCCGGCAACCTTGACACTACTTGCTGTGGCCTTCAGTACCCAAACAGGTGACCCTAGAGAGCCATACGGAATTCTTGGATGGTCAATCCGGTGCGCATCGCGGGTTGTCAAGCACCAGGATGTGTCAACCCCTGGATGGTTCAATGAGGGGCTTCCAAGTTTATGTGTTTACGTGTATAATATATATATATATATATGGCTGTGGGTCAAAAATAGGTACCCAAAATGGAACCCTGGCACATGGAAACATGGACTAAAATCTGCGGTCCACCCTGGTGGTTTAATTTTGACCCATGGACATATATCCCTCATGATACCAAGAAACCCTCGGCGGTCGGCGGCAGGTTCGAAGTCTTCGCCCTCAAGGACTGCAGCGTGGGCGCCCAGACGCGACGGCCACGTTGCAAGCAACCCCTTGGGCGACCCCCTGGTTTCGGTGCACCTTGGGCGACCCTGATGTTTCGGTGCAACTTTTTGAACCGCTGGTTTCAAGAAGGTCCCCAAAACCCTCCCATTCAATCATGGAAGCAAACGACCTGAACCTGTCCAATCATGGCAGTAGACGACCTTTCCTTTTGAGGGGGGTTCCCCAGGACAGCGTCCAATATCGGATCGCCAGCTTCCATATTTGGAGGCAGACTACACTTGCCCAAAGTGAATCAACCTTTTGACAGGGCTCCTTAAAAGATACATTTTGCCCATTTGAAACATGGCTTTCCATTTACAAGGCAATGTTCAGGTGTGTAATGTTAGTAAGGATCACTGTTTTGACCTTCTGGTTTTCCAGTTTTGGCAACCGTTTTGCGTCATGGCCCCAAAAGGTCAACCTTTGATTAGGCTCAAACTGGGAGCCCCGGACCGGGGGCTCCCTTGGACCAAGGAGGCGGAAAGTCTAAGCTGGAACCTTGCCTCAGGGCCGCCCCGGACCACCCCGCAGCCTATCTGGGCTGAGACCCCAAAGATTTCGGCTGTTGCGGAAAAAGATGCTTATATAGTGTAGACCCTTAATTCATCTTTCAGTTGCTGAAATAAACATTTGTTATGTTCCCCTGTTGGTGCTCAAAGGGAATCGATGTCACTACTGGAAATATGTTATTGTTTTTGGGCGACTTACACAAATGGAGGTTATAGAAGTTATAGTGGCCTTTTTAGAAGCTGTATCTCCCAAACCGGGGGTAGATTCGGTTCGGGGTTAGTGACAGCCAACTTTGGAAACACGAGCATCAATCACCGGCACCTGCAAACTGTTCCCACGAGACGCCGAGCTTATCCGTTCAGGCTGATCTTTTTGGCGAGCCCAAAGATCATTGCAAACCTTGCTGTTCATAGCATCCTATTGCGCACAGGTTTATTTCACTTTTTTTTCGGACATCGGCTCTTCAGTATCCATTGGCAACTATCTTTACGTTCTTGTGAGATTCACCCAACTCTTGGACGGTGGCGTGCATGTTCAATGTGGGTTTGTAGCTGACTTCTGTCTGGCTCACGATCTGGTGACATGTCCGTCAAGATCTCCCGCCTGTCCCGTGAAATCGACGAAATCCCGCACCAATTTGAAAAGATGGTTGAAATTACTATTTGTTGGTATTTACAGGGGAAGCGAATCATTCCTTTGGGTTTCTTAGGTGGTGCGTTGCATGGAGTTCGATTTCAACCACAGTAGGACGTTTTTTGGACCGTCGCCCCGCGGGAAGCCGGACCGACCATTTCTCCATTTGAGGCTCAGGGCTCAAGAGGCGCGGGATGATTTTTTTTTTTGGGGGGGGTTCCAGCTGAAACAGGGCTCCTTAAAAGATACATGTTGCAACCATTTGAAACACGGCTTTTTCCACCAAAATAAAGTTGGAAACCGCCATTTGCAAGTGGCAATGTTACAAGGTGTTTTTCGTGTATCCGGATCCCTGTGAAAAGGGCCTAGGTTCCAGCCGGCTGAATCTGGATTATGGCAGAAAAGCAACTCCGTATCGCATCTTGGCAGAAGGCCAAGGTCGGAGACTCTGAGTTGGCCTTTTGTATGATCAAATTGCTTTCGGATTGCTTGTATTGCCGCCTGCGAGTCAGTGTGGACTGTGATGTGTTGGGCTTGAGCAGTTGTCAACCGCACGGACAATTGCACCCAATTCGTGAGTTCAACAAAGCTCTGTCTCTTTATCAGGTCCCTTTGTAGACTCCTTTTGACCTTGATATTCATTCTTCTTTGTCAGGGGGCAGCATCACCCCTAGCAAAATGCACCTGCATCTTCACAGAAGCCCTTTGAACTGAGTTCTATGTTGACCTTTGGCAGGAATGTCGACAAGGCCACAACAATAAGACAACCACGTCTGGGCTCCCGATTTGTTTTTTGAGGAAGGCCCAAGGTAGACTTCGACTTCGAAGTTTCCCTTGGGGGGAAAGGCGCTCCTGGGCTTTTCCGTCTGTCTACCTTCCTACCTTGCGATAGCTCGTCACGGGGAAAACATCGAACACTGATCTGCCAGGTACCCTTTCTTCTAGGTGCCATCTTTTTGTCGGTGGTTCCCAGCCATCCCCTCAGACTTGGTTTCGTGCTTGGTTTCCATTTAACCCACCAAGAGTTAAACTTTTAGCGGCAAGATCTGAGCACAGCCCAGGTTTGTGGGGAGACATTCCAAAACGAAATAGGTTCCCCAAATTAGAGGAATCTGATCTGCCAGGTACCCTTTCTACATACCATCTGTTTGTGGAAGGGTAATCCAACAAAAAAATGCTATTCCAAAAAACAACTCCCAGGGTGCCATTTGTTTGGGGGGGGGGAAGGGTAAAAACACGGTTCCCCCCCTGAAGCAGATGTTCTCTCCAGGGCTTCCGAGGCGAGCCGGGGCCTCGGGCAAGCGACGATTTCGTCGCAGAGTCGGTGTGTGTGTTTTATCGGACCCCGATTTTCAGAGAAGCGCTGGTGTTTTCATGGTGGTTGTTGGGACACATTTTACATTTTTGTTTTTTGTGGTTTAGTGAGAAATCCCCACTTAACAGCTAAACATTAAATTGTTGCTCCCACTTTTTGGGAACCACAGGTGTGGTGTTTTGATCGGTTTAGTTTGGTTCTCCTATTTTCCCAGGTGACCTTGCTCGTTTAGTTGGGTTCGAAACAAATGGGCTCCACTGGGTGGCTGAGTTTTACAACCCGATTACCAGGGAAAACCGGTTTGCCAACGAATGCCCTCAAAACGCAGGTATGTGGAGTAGGGGGTGTCACCTCCAGGCATACTCCGCATGAAGGATCTAAAGATCTCGCGGGATGGTGCTTCTTCCAGTGGAGCTTCTGGTGGTTTGTATTTTGGTTAAAGGCTGATTGCATAGGTCCATATATATGAACCCCTTGCGATTTTGGAGCCTTTGGTGGCTGGTTTCCCGAAATAAAGTTACAGGTAGTGGTTAGTTAATTTACCCACAACTACGGGTTCATACCAGGGGTCATACAATAAAAACATCTACGGTCAGCCTTTGACTTGGGTCATGTGTACGCTTCAATATCCTCCCTAAGCAATGTGGGTGGTTTCTTTTGGTGTTCTAAAATCAGCCCCAAAAATAGGTACCCTCAACAAAACACCCCCTCTCCCCCCAAAAAAACTAACAACATCAAACAGATGAATAACTAACAGGGATGGTTTGGCTTTTCGTGTTTCTCCCATCGATCTCTCGCGCCCAAAATTAAGGCCCGGAGGCGAAGGAGAAGGCCAAGGTGCGAGATTCATCGTGTTCTGCCGATGCCAGTGGTTTTATGCGTCTGGATTCAGATCACTTTTGGAGGAGAACACCCCCCGATTCACAAGCTGGGGTTGATTGATAACCCTGCTGTAGTTCGTCCCACCCCTTTAAAGGGATATTGACAGGTTCCATGTTCATTGGTTATAGTTGGTGTCCCCGCGTTTTGTTTTTTTGGTTTTCTGGATGGTTTCCCCAGGATTGGTCACCCTTCGGTAATTCAGCTCTAGGCTTTATGTGATGGTTGCCTCTGGTCAGTCCGGGGGGTAAATCCAGATCACTATGATGCCTTTACTTGGGGGATGTGCATTGTTTGGGTGTTTCCCAAAACCGGGGGGCCCGTTTTGGATGGTGTTAAGGGGAAACCAACAGAAACTAGCCACCTGAAAAGGGTCTCTAATCTCTTGAGAAGCTCCCAGTTCAGAGTTCAGGTTTTGGGAGTTTTGCAAAGATGGGAATCCGACACCCCCCCCCAGTTCCGGGAGACTCACATCTTGGTTTGGGGGTCCAAAGACAACCATGCTGGAGGCTGAAAAGAATCAAACGAGGGAGAAGCCTAAAACCCTTAACCTAAAAACCCGAGCCCAAACCAAACACCTGAAAATCCCAAAAACCTTGCACTTAAACACCCTACCCCCAACCATCCTAAACCGAAGCTTCTATTTCCAAGCCTTAAAGAAAACACCTGAGGCAAGCCCATTTGCATGGTGGTTGTTGGGAAACATTTTATGATTGCTATTTTGTGGTTTAGTGGGTGAAATCCAGCCACTTAACAGCTGACATTTAAATTTTTGCTCCCCTTCCAACGTCAACCAAGTTTGCATCGCTTTGCATGGTTTCGTGGCGATCGCGTCCGCTTCGTGGGGATTGATTGATGATCCTTCAGCTGTAGATCGCTTCAGCGCGGTTCAGGGCGTGGAGAGCGAGTGCCGAACTCGCAAGTAACACTAGGTCCCCCAGTGCCCTTCTCTACCCTTTTTTGGTTGGGATTTTTGGTTCCCCTACTAAAATAGACTGCCATCAATTGGTGTGACAGAGTCTGATGTGACCCAGTGGCTCACCTCTGGCAAAGATCCACAGCTCGGGTCCCGGAAAAGATGTACAAGGGCGTGTCTCAGTTCACGCAGCGGCTCTGGCTTCTGGTCCCCTATGAGGGGGGTCAGCACGGCAACGGCAAAAGCCGGAAGAAGTTGCCGTGGATGCCATGAGTGCCGAACTCGATTGCAGGGGTTCCTTGGATCTCTGTGGGCATGGCCATGGGCTCAATGTAGGGCGAGCTCCAAAGAAGGAGCTTTTCCCTTTAGCTTCAGGCGACCTGTTCTTGCTTGTCCAAAGCGAATCGACCTTTTGACGTTTGAGTTTGTCCTGTTTGGGTTCCCATTTGAAGCCATCGCCCCAAAAAGGGTATGCCTTCTTTTGGGAGTCGGACCAGTTCCCCAAAATGGTTTTGCTTCTTCTCTCGGTTTCCCTGACCAAAGCCCTACCACACAGGGTTTACCTTTAAAATGCAGGCAAGCCCCTTCTGGGTCCAAAGCAGCTTTTTGCCACCAGGTGGGCGTCTTTCGTCGGGGGCCCCTGGTAGTGTTCCTTGAAGGACAGCCAAAAACAACAGAACCTACACTTACCTCTTAAAAACACAACTTTTCAACTTTTTGGGTAACATGGGCTATATGTCTGTAAAAGGTTAACTTCCCCAATCCTTGGAGTTTAAGGGGTAAGTACAGCACATTTTCCGGGCCGACCTCTTTTCATAAGGGCCGGGGGAGACTGAGTTCACCCCCATGGCTTCTCGCGATAGGCGAGACGCCTGCAGCTTTTGCGGTCCATTGCCTTTGCGCAGTCTGGGGTGAAGCTGAAGGTCGGAAAACCAGAGGAGCGATGGGATCTTTTGGCTTCTTCCTGAAGTCTCCTTCTGACCCTTTTAAACATGGTTGGTCATTACCCTGAATAGTGGTTAATGTGCCTATTTTTAAAGGGTCATGGAGACTCCAGGTTGTGGTGCGATCAGTTGAGCCACAATCGAAACCGGGTAGATCAAGGTTAGCAGCCGCTGTTGTAATCCTTTACTTGGTTTTGGGTAGGCCATTTTAATACCAGGTGTTGGTTATGATTCAGTTGGTCGTTCGGGTTGGTCACCTTATCTTCCATGACACCAGGTTGACTTGGACTGTGTCATTGGTTGTGGCACCTAATCGGTGATGCAAAAGCAGAGGTTACCTTCCAACCTCGGGGGGGTCCATAGAGAGACATCGGCAGACGCAGCAGGGAGGGGTCCAGTCTGCTACTCAAGGGGGTTGATTACCTCCACTTGCCCCTGGGCGAATCGACCGGATCTGACCGGTTGGTTTTGTTCTTGCCTTTTTGGGCTCCCATTTGGCCCCCAAAGCTTTTGTTTCTGGGTCCAAACCGGGCAATTGAGTTGCCATTCAGATACTTGACCCAAGTCGGGAGACGAGACGGAAGCCTTGCTCCCAGTTTCACGTGCATGTGTGGGGGATCGGGCTGAGCAGGCTGGCCAATTGTTTTTTGGGCCTAAAGGGAACCAAAAGGAACACCGATGCGATTTTTGCGGTTGCCCGATTTTCAGACACACCCACCTACCCATCCAATCTGCTTCGGGCAGAGAAACGCCTATCCCTAGCCGCGCACTCCGGGGAACAGTTCCCTGGTTCAAGGGGCCCGGAGGCCAACCGGGCCAACCCCACGAGGATGGGCGAAAACCCCATAGCTGCCATAGCGGTCTCGAGATTGGGAAAGCATCTTTTGTGGGAAGACGAGAGAAATGGAATTCGCTCCTCCCCCTTAAGGCCACTCCCCCTGAAGGTAAGGGGGGATAAGCCATCCATCTTTTGAGGTCTCCGAAACAAACGGAAACATCCTTCAGTTTGCGGTAACCTGGGACTTTCATTCACCAAAGCCTGACTTCTGCAACCCCAGACAAGGTCAAACAGGAAGCAAATGAATCAAGCCGCCGTACTGCAGGCAGTTGTTGTCAATTTGTTTTGAGGCGCGTCTTAGGTGATACAGGCAACCGTCAAACCCTTGATGTGGTTCACCTCACTAGCGGACAATCTGCTGCGGAAAATCTGTCCGCAACGTCCCCCAAAAGGCGATTTCAAGATAAATATAAATAGGGGTTCTACTTGCCCAAAGCCGACCTTTTTCTCTTTTCGTTTTCCCTTGGTCCACTTTAGTCATGGCCCCAAACTGAGAGTGCACTGGAGTCGACAGCTCATATGTGTTTTGAAATCGCCTACCCTCGTGCAGACTAACATGGAAGCTCCCAGGACCCCTTTGGAAGACTTGGTTCCATTTACAGAGGCCTTCTGGGAGCTTCCATGTTTGTCTGAGGGAGTGTAAATAGATATAAAGGCGTCATGTTCCTGAAACCTTGTCAACCTTGGTGCTTTCCTCACAACACAGCAGCAAGGGCTCCACATGGCCGTAGGAGCCACGCCTGCAGCGCGCGAGAGGCTCTCCTCGCTTGCAGCCCAAGGCCGAAGTTTGTTTGCGAGCGGAGCCGAAATGCTGGGGCTCTTTTTGCCAGAGGCCCCTTCAATGATTGATAGTGTATGATTAACGGTACTCCCGCAACACCTAAAAAAACTTGGAATGATGATTCGCTTGTAAATACCAACAAGCAATGGTTTCAACCATGGTTTCAAAGTGCCACAGTATGTCAAAGCTGCTTTCAGCAAGGCTTATTCCCCAGGAGCTTGAAAACTGCTTGGCTTCCTTTTGATACACGCGGACAGGAATACACAGGCAGGTGGGGACACAGCGACTGGTACACAACTGCAACCTTATTAACTTGTGACTTGGGGAAATCCAGTGACACCTGACACTCCCCCGCCATCTTTCCAGGGTGATGGAGACTCCGGTTTGATTTAATTACAAGGCAGAATTTCCAGCCTCACAGCAATGGGTGTGGTTCCTTTCTTTAGAACTTTCGGAATCGGACCCCCCCCCAAAAAAAAAGGCGTCGGGTTTCCTCTTGGTTTCCCTGAACCAACCAAACAGGGGTTACCCCCAACAAATACAGACCCATTCTGAAATCCAAGTTTTCCTCTTCCCCTTTGGGTCCTAGAAAAAAAACACAAAAAAGCGGATGTTGGGTTTTCCCTTTTTGGTCCACTTTTAGTAAAGCTCCCAGAAGTTTAACCTGTTTTTTCCGGGTCCTTTGGGCAAATGAGCAAACCGTGGCGACTTCCATTTGCTTTGGGGATCCGGTCAGCAAAACGTGGCGACTTCCTTGGCGTTTTCGCTTTTTCAGCCGCTGCAAGTGGAGCTTTTGGAGCGGGACTACTTTCGGGGACCCATCAAAGAGGTGTCCTTCGAGAACCACAGAAGAGGGGGCCAGCAGAAGCAAGACATACACGGAATATCCCTTCCATTGGCTCAAGCAAGCTTTTTGAACATAGCTTCCCTTGGTGGAAGGGGAGCTCACTACTTTCAGATATGTTCTCCTGTTTCCATCGGGCTTAAGCAACGGGAAGGAACGGTTTTCCAAGAAAGATAGGGGGGCAACTCCTGATCCTGATATTTGGGCACCGGGCTTCGTTTGTATAGGCGTCATGATTGCAAGACAAAGCTGAAGTCAACCTTCAAATGTTGGACAACGCCAAATACAAGCCTGCATTTTGCTGAAACCTTATCGAGCTTGGAATAGCTCCACGTCTGGGGGCAATAGCGGTGCTTGCTCGATGCCGTAGGAGCCGCGCTTGCAGCGTGTGAGGGGCTCTCCGCGCTTGCGGCGGGCGGGCGAAGTTTGGAGCTGAGCTGCGGCGTTGCGTTGCAGGATCTAGGAAGGAAACCTGGTGGGGCTCAAATGAGACACAATCCGCAATCAATACCCGGGTAGATGAAGCCTAGTAGAGGACGATCCCAACCATAAATAGCTGCGGCCGCCTTCTTAATTCCTTACATGGTTCTGGGTGGACCATTTTAGTACCGGGTTTTGATTGTGACTCAAATAAGGATGGGGTCAAAATGAAGGAAAGGCTCACTTGCCCAAAGCTAACCCTTTGACCTTGTTCTAACCTTGCAGTACCCATTCTTTTCGCGTGCACTCAGTAAAAACATCATTATGTTCCCTCAGCTGTTGGATCACACGATGCATCGTTCTGCTCCACACTCATCGTTCTGTTCCATAGCATCGTTCGTTTCATTTTCAAGTTCGGTGTCGCCTCGGAGGGGTCTGTTTTGTTTGTTTCTTTCCTTTTTTCCCCGCTCTTTGAACCCTGTTTGGGCAACAGTTGGTTTTTTGAACAGAATGGTCTACTGGCCAAACTCCCCATTCTTTTTGTGCTAACGTTCTGTTCGGACACATCGTTCTGTTCGGTTTGGACAGGGTTCAAACGTAGACGCCCGCTCGATTTGGGCCTTTGTTTACAGGGGTGGGGGGGAGGTTGCTGGCGCTCTCCCAGTTTGGGGTCACCATGTGGCTGTGAAAGCCTGTTGGGCGGCGCATTGGAGTTTTGGCTTGTCGTGTTCGCGAGGGATTTGTTGGAGTAAGGTTACATTAGACTTTGGGTTTTGTAGTTTTGGTCCATTTGCAGTTGTGGCCCCAAAGGGTCAACCTTGTATTTCTGGGTCCAAACTGGGGGGGTCAAAAAAAGGGTGCCTGAACCTGTAGGATGCCTTTGGTGGGACCATCTGTGTAAGCAGCAGTCTTCGGGCGGAAATCCTAAAGCACCTCGGGCGCGTGTGCGAGGCTTCCACATCTAGCAGCAGCGATAGCAGTAGCGCTCCTTAGACGCAGACTGGGAGAGAGCGGCGGCTTCACACCGGGACGATGAAGCGCTTTTGTTGGTGCCAGTTGGTTGGATCTTTGACCTTCACCTCAACTTGTCCAGAGCGACTCATTTTTGTTTTCGACCTTGTAGCTTCCCCTTTTTGGTTTCCCATTTTTGGGCCAAACGGTGAGATGTCGTTCATTTCTGGGTCCCTGTGGGCAACTGGGGTATTTTCGCGAACCAGGAGCTCTGAATGGCCACCTCCATTTAATCCCCATTTACCTCTGCACAAAGTATAAGTCTTGTTCATGTCCCCCTCTTGGATTTGAAGGGCATCTATCACTTCTGCACATGTCTCAGTTTTTGAACGTTCCCCCCCGTTTTGTGGTAATTTTAAAGGGAAACCAACAGGGCACCACTCAGTTGGGTCCGAGTCCTAAGAAAGGCACAGTCATATTTTTTTCTCCAGACTAGTGTGCTTAGGTTTTACCAGTTTCTGCAGTTCGCGCGGTGTTTCCAGTTCGCTCAGGACAGCGAGGACGCGGTGAAAGCGCCAACGCCGCATTTGAAGGAACCCCCAGGCGGGGCGTTTTTCAGCGGCAAACTTCGGAGCAAGCGCTTCATTCGGAAAATCAGGGAAAACTCACTGGCAACCAGAGCTGAGCCATTGCTCTAAGGAAAACCTGGTGGGCTCAAATCGGGGGGGGGGGGTGTCAAATTGAAGGGAAGACTCACTTGCCCAAAGCAAATCAACCTTTTGACCTTTGGTTTTTCAGTTTTGGTCGATTTGTCGTCATGGCCTCAAAGGCTATATAACCTTTTGTAGCTCAGAAGAACCAGCACCCAACAACAACTGCTTTTCCCCATGTCCAAAATCATCCTGGGACTGTCCTGTTTTGCAGTGGTTGGGGGTGCTGGAAAGGAAGGTGAGAGTCCAAGTTTTCCCCACCAAAAACCCAGGCGCTGAGGGGAATGGTGAGGATTTTCTGGAATTGTGTGTTCCGGGTTTCTGAAAGAAGGGCGGGGAGGGATTTTCCTGGAACTTCGTCTTGCGGGTTTCTGAAAGAAGGGCCGTTTTGTTTTTTCTCCTGAAAAGGGCTGGACCTTCTACCAGATCGACCTTCGGTTTGCATTCGGTTTTGGGACCCGCTTGGTAGCGAATGGGGCACGAAACCAGTCGAGCCCGTGGGCCCAGTGTCTTTTCGCTTTCCTTTTGGTTCCCCTCTTGGTGGCTCGTCCGTTTTAGAAATCCGACCCCCCAAAAGTGGATTCGGGGTTTTCCTTTTGAATTTCCTTTATATAAACCACCCAAAAAAGGGTACTCTCAAAAAGACACACCCTAAAACAGCATCCAAAAGAGTTGGAATTGCCAACCTTTGGATTTAGATATGTTGAATTCGGAAAGGGCCTTTGATACCAACACCGGACGCCCCTGCTGCTGTTCTTTCCTGGCTACTGACAGGATTTCCTGCATTCCCTTTTGGGAACCTCGTGGAAACCACAAGCAAAGTGCATGAATCAGCACTGAGTAAAATTCACTTGCTTGGCTGCCTGATGGCACCCTTGGCGTGCATGTGATGTTCGGGATGTTTGCTTTCAGAAGGTTTTGGTTTGTCATTTCTTTAAAGGTACTCCTTTTTTTTGGTGTTTTAAAGGAAAACCAACAGAAAAGATAAAACACCTTGTTTCTAAGGGGTGCGAATCCTAGGAAAGGCGCGCGTTTGTGGGGCACTGAAAGAAAGGCATCAATCACAGTGGTGTCATCCAGCCTCGTTTCCTTCTAGGTTGCAGTCTGAAAGGTCGAACTCAATGTTGGCAGGTTTTGAGCTGCGAGTTGGGGTGTGTTTGCTTAGGAGTCGGACCATCAAAATGGTGTGTTTTCTTTGTGTTCCGTGTGTGTTTCCTTTGTGTGCTCCTTGATATTAAAACCACAAAGGGGTACCAACAAAAAATGAACTCACGCGATTGGAGGCCTTCAATCGCACTCGCAACCGTCGCTATCAAGACCCATGTACGATTTGTACAAAGACCCTTTCCACAATTGACAGAAGAAAGCCAAAACAGGATCAAATGCAAAAGGCGATCCTGTACCGCGGGTTGCCTGTATAATCAAATGCATATTACATGGCTGCTCTTTGGTGCGACCGAATCGCCCCTTAGACCTTCAAGAAACTCATGCTTTCCCGGTACACCTACAACAGTTTAGTCCTTGTGCTCAGGGGTTGTTTATATGTAGACCCTTGACATGGTGGAAGATGGTTTTGTTGCTATCTTGTTGCTTCGTCGCAACACGCTTGCCGCAATACCATTGCAACACACTTCGATGCAGAAAAAAAGTGTACGTCTTGTTTAGGAATCGGACCCCCCAAATTGGATTTTGATTTTCCTTCTGGTTCTTGTTTAAAAAAAGATGAAGAAACAAAATGACAAAAAACACATCAAAGTTTACAAGTAGTACCCTCAAAACAAATAAAGATGGTATTGTTCCTTTTGGTTCCCCTGAAAAACCAGAAAAGCAATAAGTGGAACCCAAAAAGCACAACAGCACATAGTGGTGTTCCTTCTGGTTCCCTTCAAACCATCCAAAGCAGGTACCAACTCCAAAAGAATTGACCGACCCAAGTGGCAAGGCACGGAGCAAACCCAACCGCTGCTGGTTGTCGGGGAATCCCAGCGAAGGGTTCAGAAGGAGCAGGAAGAGGTTCAGATGGACAGCCGAAGATTTCTGTGCAGATATTTTTCTGAGATGAAGTATCTGTTTTTTCCAACTTGGGTGTGATTTTGTTCATACTTGTTCATCTCTTGTTGAGGTTGGTTGTGTTGTTTCAGCTTCTAGTGCTTGGGCGAAATTGGCTGCGTTTCCTTTTCAGGTTGCGGGGGGACTCCTGCCAATGCCCTTTGTTTAGGACGCCTTCCAAAATCCAAGGTCTGCAGAAAAGGCTTTTGAGCTTGCCCCTCAGTGGCAAACTGCAGACTTTGGTCGGCATTATTTATTTATCGCAGCAAGCTCACCTCGAGGAAAAAGGGTTTCGTCTTTGGTGAAGGTTTGTTGCGTCTTACATGGGGGCATTCTTGCATGCTCAATGTGCGGATTCTTGTAGCCTGTGTAGGTGAATGGCCAACATGCAGAAACAATAGTAGCAGCGGCGGCGGCGGCAGCAGCAAGAAGGAGAAGAAGAAGGAGAAGGGAGACGAAGAAGAAGAAGGAGAAGGAAACCACATCCTGCTACAACATGATGATTAGGCAGTTATTGGAAGTTACCGAAAAGGATTCCCAAGCACAACTAACATAATGACAAACAAGGAAAAAACAAAAACGAACAAAGCAAATATCAAAAACAAGCATAACACAGCCCAAATTGAGAAGTACAGCCGCGTCATGAGCTTTCTTGCAGCGCGGGGTGTGTTGGGTGTGTTGTTGTTTTTTGAGGGAACCGGCCAAAATGGTGGGTTTCAAACCTTCCAACAGCTGGATAGCTTCAATAAAACGGCCTGGGCCCACTTGGCAAGTGGCGATTCCATTCAGCTCTAAGGCTCTGGAGAGCCTGCGGAGCACTGATGCCTGGCCCTTTGCCAGGCTTTTCGGACGTTGCCCAGAAATGAGGGGAACGTCCGAGAAAACGGCGGTGGAGACTGGAGACCATGCATGTGAGCGGGGTGAAACATGTTTTGTTGGTTTTTTTGCATCCATTCGAGGGGGGTAGGGGTGCCGATTTTGTGGCAGTCATTTTAGAGGGATGCCATGTCTTTTTGGCAAACACCCTGTTGGGTCGCACTTCGGCCTGTTTGTGTCTATTGTGATAAGTCCATCCATAGGCAGCTCGGGGTTGACAGTCCTGTACGCGCAGCATCACTTCAGCCGGCGTGCTTCATTTGCTTCCCAACATGTCGCAAGTGTTCCAAGGGAAGCCTACTTGTGACAAGCTTGCAACAGGGTTCCCCATATTTCCCGATTTGGTGGATTTGAACCTCATCTTTCTGGGCATTAAAAATCAGCTTCCTTGTGGGATGATGTTAAAAGGGGATATATAGGGAGCCCTGTGGACATGTGTTTGACAAACCTTCTCAGGACCCATAAATTCACGGCAAACCAACTACAGAAGCATCTACAGGAAATCCTTGTTTTTGGTGGCATTTTGTTCTATTATGAAAGAAATATCACCGGCGTCCAAGCAAAGGCGTATCCCCTGCTTTTCGCCCCGCAGGAGCACTTGCGCTTCCTGCGAGCCTTTTCGTAGACGTGCTGAACTAGCCTGGAACAACACAAATTATTGTTTGAAAGAGATATTTTTTGAAAGTGGACCAAAATAATGAGGAGTGTGTGTATGTGTGAGAACCAAGGAGTGTTTCTGCGGGAACAGCGTGCACATGTGACTTCGAACGAGCGCTTCTCCGAATGATGGATCCCTTTTGGCCAAGAGGCAGCGTGATACAAATGACAGCGGGTTCACGATTTCCAGGCCGCAAACGGCAACTGGGTGTGTGTTTTTTTCGAGGGTACCCCTTTTGGGATTGGTTAAATGGACACCAAGTGTAAGTGGACATCTCCAATTTAGGAGGTTTCCCTAAATCTGAGACAGACCCGTCTGAGCAACAGTGGGAATCCGACGGTCCAACGAAACCAATGAATTGCGACTCAATACCCGATGCTGCTCTTTGCTTGGATTTGAACATAGTGTCGTCTCAAAATAGAACCCCCAAACCGGTGGCTTCCTCTTTAGATTCCCTTTAGAGCCACCCCCAAATGAAGTCCCTTATTCAAATTCATGTCCAAATTATGTTTGCCCGCTGGTCATAGGCTTTATAGTTTTTTTGGCCCAAGTGGAGCGCGGGGCTTCGGGCTTCTTGCCGGTTCGAAGGCCTGATTCTTCCAACTGCTGGTCTTGTGCAAAGCCCCGAAAACCTTACAGGGCTCCTTAAAAGATACATTTTGCCCAAACATGGCTTTTTCCACCAGAATAAAGGGAAACCACCATTGACAAGGCAATGTTCAGGTGTATAATGTAAGGATCCCTGCCTTAGTGGTTACCGTGGGTTGCTAAAAGCGAACTTCTGAGCATGGCGATTCGGTCTTTGTGAGCTTCCTCGGCCCAAAAGATATTCTTCCTATGGTTGTCAACGGCCCCAATAGGGCCCCCCCAATCCCAACAGCCACTAGTAAGGCATATGGGGGGCACTTTTTTTGGGTCCCCTCTTTGGGGGGACGGACTTTTGTTCAACACATCTAACCTACAAAGGCCCAGCAGTTGGAATGAGTTGGAATGACCCCAAACAGAACCATCCGATCTTCCTTTTTTGGGAAGGGGATCCCTAAAATAGTTCTTCCCAAAATCCATTGCTGATTCCGTACATATTACGCCAACGAAAGAAAAAGACAAACAAAAACATGAATGACACATTCTAGATTGAACATATCGGATCAACAACACCTGAGAACCAGCCCACCGTTTTTCGCAACCCCTTAAAGCCTCCGCTCGAGGTGGATAGCCTCAAGGCGAAGGCTGCACTTCTACGTGCAAGGACCTCGTAGGGTCTCGGAGGGCAATCCGGGGGAGTGTGTCGCCTGTTTGGTTGCCATGTGGCCGTGGCTCTCCAAACCGGTACCAAAATGGAACCCTGGTAAGTGGAAACATGGACCAAAACCTGCGTAACCCTCCTGGTCAATTTTGAGCCACACCCATGTGGCTGTGGTTATCAAAACCCACGGGATCCCATTTTGGTTGGTAGGTGAATTCACCACCCATTTTAGAACCCATTTCAGTGTTGGATTGGGATGTTCACTGGGGGTACGGGCTTTTGACCCATGGCCATGTGGATTGCGAAATCCATCCGTTTCGCACCACGGTTCATGAAACCATGGGAACCCGCAAGGTTTGCTGGTATTTACGGGGGGATCATCATTCCAGCTTTTTTCTTCCCCCGGTGGTGCATGGTTTTGGCGATGGAGAACTCCTGCAGTTGGGATGGACGAAGCCCTGTATCGGATATGAACTGGCACAGGAGTTTGTCCACCCACAGTAGGTGAGGTTGTGCCTTTTTTTTTTTTCTTTCGGGGTGATGGTTTTGGGCCAGGTAGATGTTGCACCCTGTCAAAGCTGAAGAGGTTTTTGGTTGGAATCTCCCGTGAGAGAGGGTGATCTACTGCAGCACTTGCAAGCTTGGCATTGGTGTCCGGGTCACAGTCCTTGATGCCCGTGAGGTTTCCCCAGCCCTGGCCATTTGGACGAATGCTTGGCCCCCGCGAGGTTTCCTCTTGGCCCTTGGAATCTGAAGGCCAAACAGGAGCCTTTAGTTCCCAAACAGAAACTCAGTTGCCCAAAGCCGACCTTTTGACCTTTTGGTTTCTCCTTTTTGGTCTAGTTTTAGTCATGACCCCAAAAGGTTAACCTTTTATTTCTGGGGCCTTTGGGCAAGTGAGGAACTTACCTCACACCCATTTGTGGTATCGCCTGCAAAGTGGGGGGCTGAGTGGATTCTGCCCAGGTGGCTTGCCGGGATGCTGCGTCCAAAGCGACCTTTGTGAAGGCTGGGAGGAGATGTGGATGACCCGACTGTGGATGGGCCACATCCGCTTCGCGCCACATGGGCCACTTGCTCAAAACCCGGTAAGATGAGGGCTGGTCCCCTTGCCATAAATGGGTGCAGCTGCCTTTTTTTACATGGTTCTGGGTAGACCATTTTAATACAAATTGTTTATTGTGGCTCAGATGGGATTGGTTTATCAACAAGTTACAGGGTTTCATCCATCCCCACCTGGTACTGGTGCAGGATTTCGTCCATCCACAATATTGCAAGTGAACCAACCACGCAAACCTCGAAACCATGGTAAGTTACAGTAAACTTGGTCCCCCAGTAGTGTCCAGGGAGGGCTCCCCTACTAAAATAGACTACACAAAAATCGGGTACCCTTATTCCAACCTCTCTACTGCAGGACCTAGGTAAACTAGGGGTTCCAGGTTCCGACTTGTTCCCTTATTTCAAAATGGCCCCAGCATCCATTGGCCTTGCCTTGGCCAGGTTTGCGAAGGTGAGCATTGGGCAAGTTTGGGGCAGCAACAATAGTCTTTTGCTCTTGGGGGAAACCGGAACAACAACGAGTGTTACACTTCTTGGCAGTTCCCAGCCGCCCGGTTCCTTAAGGTTTTAGGTTTAGGGTTTAGTGCTTGGGTTTCCTTCTAACCCACTGAAAGTTAAACTTTTAGCAGGGGATCGGAGCACAGCCCAGACTTATATCGGTTGTGTTTCTATCGATGTCCTTTGGGGGCCCAGCAGAACGCGTTCGAATCGAGCAAGGGATTCGTGTTGATGTCCAACCGTCGGTTTCGACAGAGTGGGAACCCAATGGGTGGCTCTGGCTTTGTCAACATTGGGGGCTGTCCTTTTTTTTTCTTTGAGGGTTTCGCGTTCCTGGTGGTTTTAAACGGATAATCACCACTTTGGCGATTTTTGAGAGTCCACTAAAAAAGATTAGTTTCCCTATCGGTTGGAAGCAGCTGGAAACCCCATCTCTGCCCGAAAACGAAAAACCCAACCCCCAAACTCCCCCCTCCCCAAACAAACAAAACAACAAAAATAAACAAACTCTCCCCCCCTACCAAAAAAAAGGAAACGCGCAGCCAGGCAGGCGCTATCCCGGCCCTGAAGCCTTGCCTCGAGGACGCATTCGTCGGCACAATGTGAGTGAATCCCATCTTGCTGGTTCGATAGGGCAATGAGAAATGGCTGAGCTCCGAGAAAAACAACATCCAACTTGCGGTTTCCTTGAAGGTAATCCCCTTTTGGTTAATTCCCAAGACCCGGAAGGTCTTTCCCTATTGAGCACCCGGAAGTTTAGCTTAGTGATTCTAGTTGGATTTGCCTGAAACTTGGTTCGACCAGAACATGTTTGGCTTCCCCTTGCAACCAACCAAAAGGGGCTTCCTGAAAAAATACCCACACCCATTTCCCTGCTTTTGTAGGTCCGTAGGTAGCCAAGAAATTGCTCTAAAAAGCAAAAGGAAAATTGTTTTCAGGTTGCCTGCTGTAGTGGTTTGCCTCGCCTGAACGGAAATTACTGGGCTCCTTGCGATGTTTGGAAATCGCCACCCCCCTTCGATTGTCAGCACAACAGGCCATTTTGGTCGTGAGGAGCCATGACATGTCACTGCAAATGGGATCCAGAATCCTCCTCCTCACCCACATCTTTGAGGGCGCAGCCACAGGAAATTCTACCATGGAGTCTCCATGACCCTTTAAAAATGGGGTCATTAAACTAATGGGCCATGGAGACTCCAGGTACAGCTCAACGGCAAACTACCCACCCAAAAACAGTTATTTTCCCTTGAGCTAGCTCCCTGGCGAGGCCAGGCGCAAGGACTATGATTGCCTTTCGCTGGCCAGCGTAAGGGCAAGATCACGTAACGTCAAGCTCTTCCTATGTTGGCAGCTCGCAGCACACGTGCCCGCGCAAGAATTCCCGCAGGCTCGGGTTGGCCGAGCGCGCGCTGCTTCCCTAGGCCTGGTGGACACAGTTGCACGGCTGTGACAGCGGGTCGAGAGGCATTCCGTTGTGACGGAGCTGGCGGTCGCGTCGATATCGAGAAGAAGCACTGTGGTGTATGTGCCTAGAGTCTCCATGACCCTTTAAAAATGGGGTCATGACCCCAAATAATGGGGTCATGGACGCTATTTTTCGAGTGTCATGGAACTCCAGTGTGGATGTTTTGTGATTTGGTGGACCTCCGGCACGAAGGTCGAGAGCGAGGCTGTTGCCCTCACTCCCTAGGCGAAAGGAGGACGTGTTTTTGCCCCACCCGGACGATGAGCGGGGACGCCGGACGCCAAGCGGAAGGCTCGCGTTGCCGCAAGCAGCCAGAAATCAAGGCAGGCGGGGCAAAGCAGACAGGGGGCAGGCGCAGACGAGTCGGAGGCAGATGCAACCTGAGCAGAAGAAGTCAAAACTTCTCTGGGTGAATTATAACGACCTCACACGACCGAATTCACCCCAAATGGTGGTTTATGTGGGGAATATTCCCCAAATGACCTTATTTCAGGTTGGTGAAATATGATCATTCACCCAGAAATTTCTGGGAGCTTCAAGTTGATAAGGCTAGCCGGAGACCAATGGCGCGGGGACCGCGATGGACACGCCCGATCCGCCGGATCGATTCGCTGGAGCGGCGCCGAAACGCGTAAGGGCGTAAGAGCTTGCCTGGGGCAATGCAGAGGGAGCTGGGTTTCAGGAATTTCTGGGACAAGG